AATCAAATAAAAGATATACATTTGGTTTTAAATTTAAAAAATCTAAAATATAACAAGGATAATTATTGAGTTATAACATAATACTCAATTATTATCTTTATAAAATATATTTAATAATAAAAAATAAATTACTTCGTTATTAACCTTAAATTAAATTATAATAAAAAGAATTTACACAAAAGAACGAGAACTTTTAAATTAGTTAACTTGATACTAATTTCAATATATATTTTTTCAAAATTTTATGATATCTTAAAATGTATATTTTATTCAAAACTAAAAACATTATCGTTTTCTCAAAACTATATAAAACCGTATTATAACATCGATGGAGACAGATAATAAAACAAAACATTAAAAATCAAGATGTATCTCGCTGTATTACGCGAATACCCTTCTAGTTATATTAAAAAAGAGAAGTTACGGTTATTCTTGAATTCTTAAGAGATATTCATTTTTATGTTAAATATACAAGTTTTATAGTAGTTTATAATGACTTTCAAGATTACAGTTATCTTGAAATAAAAAATACAAGATTTTATGAATACTATGCAACTTCTTTAAGCTATATGAAAACCAGTTTCTCACACCTACGATCCATCCGTCCCAAAATAATACTAAGATTAAATTTGTTTTTATTTTTTTAATTATACTGTATACCCTTATAATTAGTTATTTATAATTTATTTTATATTTTATATTTTTTACTTTTTCATTTTTTATTTTACATTTTTTTATTATGTTAACATAAATAATTATACATGAACTAAAATACATTAAAAGATACATTTCTTCTTTTGTAAATTATATCATTATAATCGATACCTTCAAACTGAACTCAATATTCAATATTTTAGGACTTAACCCTATTAAATATCACTAGAATGATACTCGTGCAATGTAGCGAAATCCATTTTAATTTTAATGTTTCGTTTATTATGATGTTTTTACTTTTTAACAAATTATAAATTTGAAGGTATAATAAATTTTTGAAAAAAATTATATCGATTTTTGTATCATATTAATATTTAAAAGTTTCTTTTATGTAATTTCTTTAATTCAATTTTTTATTATAATTTAATTTAGAATTAATAATAAAGTTATTTATTTTTGGTTTAATAATATAGTTTTTTATAAAGATAATAATTAGTATATTGTTAGAATTCAATAATTATTCTAAATACATTTTAAATTTTTTATATTTAAAATGAGATACCTATCCAATATTTGATTATATTTATATGCAGTTAGTTACACGGATTCAAACATTAAACTTTAATAAGTTGTACATATGCACAATTTATTTGTAATCTTGAATTTTAAGTAATATACATCAATAAACAGTACCTAATGCATAAAAAATAGTTTTTAAGAGTTTTTGTCAAATACTTTATAATATAGTATAGATAAATAAATGGATTATTTTTAAAACTCATGTTTTATGACTTATATTATTTATTTAATTAGTTTTTTATTTTCCACCCTTATCTATATTATATCTATCCATACTATGTATATAATTTATTTTATTTTATATCCCTCATTTTTCATTTTAGACCCTTATAATATTAACATAAATAATCATACACGAACTAAAATACATTAAAAATTCACTTTTTATTGTACAAAATAAATTATTGTAATCGTCTCATCAATACTTTCAAAATAAGCACAATATCAAATATTTTTGAATTTAATCATATTATTAAATACTATAAATACATAGTGAATTATTTTTAGAACTTATATATGTTTTAAACCATATAGTTATTTATTTAATTTGTTTTATATTCTCTAATTTTTCATTTTACATGATAATTTATAATATATAATGAAACACGTTAAACAATTATTGTTAAAAAAAAATAAGTAGTATAAGTTTAATAATTAATGTACACCTATTTAAAGCATTATACTAACCATCATATCACACATTCCCTCAATTTAAATTAAACCCCTCATTTCTTTCCATCTCCTCATCCCTCTCGATTCCTCCTCCATTTCAATTACCTCCACCTTTCCTCCAAAGAACCCTAATTTTTCTTCAGCACTCCTCTCACGTCATGGTTTCTCTCTAAATTGGATTGTTTATAACCGATACGCCATTCAAATATGTCACCCACCCATCTTAAATTCATATCATGTATCGAAACTATACCCTTAAATCGTTCTCTGATCTTTCTCCTTTAGTCGAAGACTGCTCGAGCATTCTCTCCTTATAGGACTTAGGGGGTGTTTGGTTCATGGAATTTGGTGGAATTGGAAGGAATTGGAATTCCCAAATCTTTGACCAAATTCCAAATACCATGTTTGGTTCACATAATATATGTGAAGGAATCCTTCCAATTCCAACAAATTCCTTAATTCATTGATTTCACAATTCCACCGCATATACCACGGATTTTAAATTCCTTAGCCCTCATCCATTCATCGACGTTGTATCTCGACTTGCTCTGTTCTGCTATGCTCGATCTCGATTAAAACTAAGAATGACAACGGGTCAGGTTCGGGCCGGTTATTGGTATTCCGTCCCCGAAACCGATAACTAAAACCGTCCCCGTGACCACCACGATCCCCGTCGGGGATCTTATTGGGGATCATCATCGGGTCCCCACGGTTTCCCCGATCCCCGTTGGGGAACCCGTTAAGGTAAAAAAAATAAAAAATTCCCGTTCACCGTTGGTTGTAATCGAACCCGAAACCGAAACCCGAAACAGATCTAAAAAAATTACAATATGTTAATTTTCACAACTAAAAGTAAATTACAATTTTTTTTAAAGATGCAAGTTTAAATGTCTCAAACATAATCGAACCAATTACAAACAATGTATTAGATTACAATATAAAACTAAAAAGAACTTCAAACATCATACAACTAAAATCACGATTTCCCAATTAAACAAATAAATAGACTTTTCGTGAGCCTTATTTGGGTTGTTGAAGTAAAGTGGATAAAAGTTTTTTAAATTTAAATGTTACTATTTTCTTTTAATGATATTACATATATATATATATATGTATATAAATTAAAATTAATATATATACACATATCGGTAGGGGCCGGGCCGATGATCACCGTCCCCGCTAAATCCCCGAATTCGTCTCCGATCCCCACCCTGTCCCCAATAAGATGTCCCCGAACCCGGCCCGAAAGTTTCGGTTTTCACCATCCATTTCTGTTTTTTTTGCCTGTAATTTTTTCGTTGAATTCCGTGAACGAAACAAAAAAAATTCCAATTCCATCCAACCAAACGCAATCAAAACACATGATCAAATTTCTTCAAATTCCATTCTATTCCCTCAAAGTCAAATTCATTTGATGAATTCCAATTCCATCGAATTCCATTCTACGAACCAAACGCTCCCTTAGAATATTCCTTTGGGCATTACAGGAGTTACAATATTACTTTATAGGAGTCACAAAGGGATTTAGTTCATTATATGCACTACACTTTTAACCCAACCATCTAGCGGGACGTTTTGTATTTAATTTATCACATACATGGTGACTTTGGGGTGGGTAATGTGGACCAACTCAAGTATTGTTGGTCGTAGATCCTTTTGCACAAACCATCTCCTTTCCATTACTAAAAATAGACTTTCACCATCGAAAACAGTTAACCCGTCAGAAATTCCACCAGAAAAAGTGTTTTTCGACGGTGGTTTTTCCAATCGGAAATACGCCAATAATCCCTTTTCCGGCATATATGCTCGCCGAAAAAGTTTTCCTATTTAGTAGTCTCTTTTGTATATATAACAAACATACATACCATCATACACATAAACGCACATGCATCATTTACAAGTTTCTTTATATACCATTAACGAGCATATCACGTCACAAACAAGAAAAACACAAACACATAGAACATATACGTACCTATATGAATAACTTTTCCCCTTCCTTTTCAATCTCTAAATATGATAATTTTTGTCTAATGCAAAGAAAAGTCCTATTTGGATTCGTTAACCTCAATTTTTAAAAGGGTTATCATGTTGATATCTCAAAATAGACTTGTCTAACACGTAAAATCAATTCATTAAGTAAACAATAACACGACATATACAATAATACGAGATTAAACCAAAAGGTAATTAGTTTTATGTTTTTACTGAACACTTGAAAATTAGGAGTTATCATACCAAAATACGTTTTATTTTCATGTAATCTGCCCATTTTTGTTTACCATAACATATGTGAAACTCCTATATTAATCTTCAAAAGAGCTCTTAAACAAAGAATCGACGCAAGCCTAGTTGATGAATAACTCTAGCATACCCCCTCTATTTATGGAGGGTTAGACGGACATAGATCGTCTTAGAGCATCGAGAAGGGAGTGAAGAGGGGATATACATGTACAGATTTGCCCTAAACTGTCGAATCCCTAGTGTCATAGACCTTGACTCTATTACCATTTGAGAATATGTAGAACCCTATATTAATTTTCAAAAAAACATTGAAAAAAAGCAAGATTCCATCAATATAAATAGAAGAAAAGGGTTTAAGTCTAAAACTCTAACGATATCAATTACCTTATTCTTGTTCGGTTTTAGTCCAATCACATAACACAAGACATTAATTACAATCAAGATTGTGTGATTTTTAAGGTATCTTTTTAATCTCAATTAAATCTATATATAGCTATAAAAAATGTTAACCTAGAAGACCATCTATCTTCTTGCATCATCTACTTTATTAATTCATTATATATAAACACTAATTAATTAAAAATTTGTACTACAAAGATCACATTTAATACAAATGAGATGGGGAACCAATGCTTAAAAGAATTGGACCCCACAAGAAATCCAAAGATTTGAAAGGCAACCAATGGCAAAACAAATTCAAGGATGGAGTTCATAAATTGGCCAATTAAATGAAGATAAGGTGTTTTTATGGGACCTACGTAACCTACACAACTGCATCTACCTTTCATCCTTTATAAACCCCTTGTATACTACCACACTGTTCTCTGTAAAAAGTGCACGCAGTGGGTCTCACGCACAAACAAAAACCTACAATCCCATCATAGATCTCCTCAAGAAACTCCATAAATTGTAATCGAAAAAACACTTCGGATCGATCCCTACCAAATGGTCTCATCGGACAAGAAACTGGCCAACGTTGTAGGAGGAAAAACGGCGAGGGCTTGTGATAATTGCATAAGAAAGCGTGCTCGGTGGTATTGTGCCGCCGATGATGCTTTCTTGTGCCAATCGTGTGATGCTTCTGTTCATTCCGCGAATCCTTTGGCTCGTCGCCATGAAAGGGTTCGTTTAAAGGTGGCTTCTTTGAAGCTTTCGTCGTTGGAGAAACCAGCACCGCCGCCGTGGCACCATGGTTTCACCAAGAAACCTCGGACCCCTCGTGGCGGCAGCCATCACAAGCATGCATCTCGTCAGACGCTGAAATCTGAAGAAAGCAGTATGAGTTTCAATCCGCTTGACTTGGTGCCGGAGATCGGAAGTGATGAGACCACCGCCGTGACATCTGAAGAACAGCTTCTGTATCAGGTTCCGGTGTTTGACCCATTTGCGGCGGAGCTTTGTCTTTCTGGGAACTCGACTGACGTGGCGAGGCCGGTGAAACAATCGGAGGCGACAACTCCAGTGGATGGTGATCGTCATAATGGGTCGAAAATGACGTTTGATTTGAATAATTTGAACGGGTTGATACTTCCATCCGACATGGAACTGGCGGAGTTCGCCGCCGATGTGGAAAGCTTATTGGGTAAGGGTCTTGATGAGGAGTCGTTTGCTATGGAGGGATTAGGGTTGTTGGATTGCAGAGAGAAGGATTCCGACGAGTGTTTGGAGAGAGTAAAGGTTGAAGAAGATCACGAGATGCAGTGTGAATTAGTGGAAAGTGAGATGGAGATGATGAGAGAGCCGTTTCAGTTGAGCTTTGATTATGATTCGCCATTATGGGAGGAGAAAGATGAGAAGGTGGCGGTGGAAGGTGGTGTTGGTGGCGGCGGCGGTGGTGGTGGAGATCATACAGGTTTGATGAAAGATGAAGGTTATCATATGGATATTAATATAGAAAAATACGATGATGAGACTAAGAAGAATAGAAGAATATTAAAGCTTGATTATGAAGGAATTATTGCTGCTTGGGATGAGCAAAGATCTCCATGGACCACCGGTGACCGGCCGGAGTTGGACCCCGATGATTGTTGGCCGGAGTGCATGGTAGGTCTACTTTTCTATCATACAATTTATCAACTATTTTTTACAAATTATTTAAGAAAAAACAGATATTCTGTGTTTTCAAGTACAACTTTATTTTATTTTATTTTCATAAAAATATAATATTTATATACGAATAAATAAAACAAATAAAATTACACACCCTTTTGTTTTTTTCTTTATATATTAATGATAAAAGAGATCTTTTAGATATTTATTCAAGGGGTCCCTCACGTCATTTTCTACACCCCCTTCTCTCACAAAGTCACTCCCTCACATACTCACCCTCTCTCACATTCAACAAATTTTTTTAAAATAATAATTTTAAATTTACATTTTATACTCATATAATTAGTTAATTAATTTACTTTATGTCATTTACTTTTAAATTTTTCATTTTACACATTTATTAAATTAACATACATAATCGTATATTAATTAAAATATGTTTAAAAAATACATTTTTATTTTAACAAGTTACACCATTATAATCGTCTCGTTAATACCTTCGAAATGAGTCCAATATTGAATAGTTTTTGACTTAATTATATTATTATATATTATATATAGTATGAAAAAATATTTTTAATATCTACGATTTATACTTTTATAGTTCTTTATTTAATCTTACATACTCATTTTTTAATATACTTGTTAATTTTTAAATTATACTTCATATTCTCTAGTTACTTATAGGGCTGTAAAGGAACCGAACGTTTATGTTCATTTATTTAATAAATGAACGAACATGAACAATTTTTTTTGTTCGTTTAATTAAACGAACGAACATTAACAAGAGTCTCGTTCGTTCATTTATGTCCATGAACGTTCGTTTGTTTACCGTTCGTTTATATTCATTTATATACTAAATTTAATATATAATCTTTTGTTTATTTACTTTAACATATATAATTGTATATAAAATAAAATATGCTAACAAAATACGTTTTTATTTGAACATCGTTTTATTTAATTATGGAATTGTAATTATATAAATATCATAAGGGTATAAAATAAAAATAAAGAAGTAAATAAATATAATAAGTTTTTATAAAGATATAAAATATAAATATTGAAAAAAATTCATATACAAATATATAATTTAAAAATTACATATTTTTAATATTTTATTAATTAATAATAATATGAAGTTAATGAATTTATATAATTATTAAAAAATATGTATCTTTAATATTTTATTAATTAATTAATATATGTAATTATAATATAAGATTAAAAAAACATAAGGGATATAATAGAAAAATATATAAAAAATTGAAGGGTTAAAACTAAAAATTTTAAGAGTTAAAATTGAAAAATAAAATAAACTTATTATAATGTTTTTTAGTGTTTTAGTAGGAGGGGAAGAAAATCTAGGGTCAAATACATAGCAGGGGGTGGGGTTAGAAAACCCCTTATTATTCAATTGGTATAAGTTATGTGTACCTAGTCAAACCATTTTTTTAATTAATAATTAGTTAAAATTAAATTAGTAATTATAGTACACAATTTTTATATATTTAATCTACTAGAAGGGTACTCGTGTAATATAACAAGATATATTTTTATTTTAATGTTTTATTTTATTTCGTCTTTATAGATGTTTTAATATTGTTTTTATGTGGTTTTGAGAAATGGATAATGTTTTTATTTTTGAATAAAATATAAATTTGAAAATATCATAAAAATTCGAAAATAAATATATCAATATTATAATCATATTAACTATTTAAAAATTCTTGTTTTTCGTGTAATTTCTTTAATTCACTTTTTTATTATAATTTATATTTAGATTTAATAACGGAGTAATTTATTTTTAATTTAATAATATATAATTTTTTATAAGAATAATAACTAAGTATTATGTGAGAACTCAATAATTATCTTAATTATATTTTAGATTTTTTATATTAAAAATGAAATGTTTATTTTATATTTGACTATGATTATCTGCAGTTAATTACATGAAGCTTTAATAAGTTGTACTTACGCACAATTTGTTTGTAACCTTGAATTTTAAGTAATATGCATTAATAAACAGTACTTCATGCATAAAAATTAGTTTTCAAGAGTTTTTGTCAATTGCTTTATAATATAGTATAAATAATTAACATTCTTTTTCTATTTAATTGCCTACGTAGTCAACCTTTTTTTTAACTAATGGAATAAGCAATTAGTTATGATACAAAAACTTGGTAATAATTGGTAAAAAGCATAAAAATATATCATTACATGCTTTATATAACCTATATATATGATGTATGATTTAAATGACTTTAAGATTAACTTTATGCAATCAACTTTTCTTTACAATCTTTTTATAATTTTTGAAGAAAATTATGATATGTTTTGTCGGATGCATCAGTAACATGGAACAATTAGATACTGATTCTACCTTTTATTTTATGTTTTTATAAAGGTTTATACAACTATCTGGTTAAACACTTTAAATATTTTGATGTATCAGGGTGGATGTGGGATAATGCATCATCATCATCATCCTTATGGAGATATGGGCATGATGGCTGGGAACCCGGCGATGTTAGATGGAGGAAGACAGGCTAGAGTGTCGAGGTATAGAGAAAAGCGACGAACAAGGTTGTTTTCAAAGAAAATAAGGTACGAGGTACGAAAATTGAATGCAGAGAAGAGGCCTAGAATGAAAGGAAGATTTGTAAAACGGGCATCTTCTTCAGGGTTTCCTATACTTGGCAAATAATTAACAAACAACATATCTTTCTAACACTTTATATATCCATCTTACAATTTTGTAAGGTAAGCTCTATGCTTGATTAGGTTGTTCTAATCAAGAATGTTCATACAAATTCAATAATGAAAAGATCCAAGAAAGACAATTTGTATTGTGCTTCTTTCCATACGTTGGCTTTGTGGACTCATTTTTTTTATTAACCTGGATATCCAACCTGTTATGCGAGTCGACTAATCTCACGACGACCACCTGCTTTGTAGATAGCTTGGAGTCACCGTATTTGAACCTCCATGACCACAAAGATTTTTATTCCTCCTTGTATTTGAACTTGGGACCTCCAGGTACTTTTGACCTTTGGAGCCAAGCTTAAACCAATCAGACACCACCATTATGGTTAGCTTTTGTGGACTCATTTGTGCAAATAGATATTAAAACCATCAAATCAGCAACAATTGCCCTTTTCCATTGCCTTTTTATCTCTTTTCACATGTTTTCATGGTGATTATAAACCCTTGATTATATATGTCCATGAGGTAATTAATCACATAGTTAAACCACGATCTAATACATTTGTAACTTGAGTTTATGGAGGTAAGATACAATTGTAAAAAGGTTCAATATGATAGTCATAGGGAGGAAAAAATTTCATGTGCCGTTTATCAAATGCTTATTCGGATAAGCGCTTATTAAGTAACAGTACTTTGTCATATTCTTTATCGGATGAATATGACAATGGCTAAGAATCTTACCTGGTAAGAGTGAAGGCAATAATCGAGAGTTTTATCCGGTAAGTGAGGGCGACGACTCTTACCATCGCTTACCGGGATAAATTGTTGCATACAATGCGTTTTGGTGAATAAAATCTTATCCAGTAAGTAAGCCATAGTGTTGAATTTCACCAGTAACACTTACCGGGTAAGTGTTTAGGTAAACGACCCCTAAATATTTCAAGAACCTAATTAAGATGTCTTAATACATTACTTGAAAGTAACATTAAGCTTATGGAATCAAAGACCGTGTATCATCTATGCTCTATTATAAAACATCACTTTAATTATTCTTTTATAAGTTTAATGTTCATGTTATAAAGTTTCATTAAACCATATATAACTTTCCACTCCCTTCCCCCATAAAAAATCTCTCCAATAAAACCAACTCTCATGTAACGAATTTTTTATCTATTTAGAGGTCGTTTATCAAACGCTTACTCGGGTAAGTAAACACCAAATCATATTACCTTATCGGATGAATTTGGTAAGAACCAAGAATCTTACCCGGTAAGAGCGAGACAAGAACCAAGAGTCTTACCTGGTAAGTGAAGGCAACAACTCTTACCACGGTAAGTGCTTACCGGGTAAATTATTGCATACGATACTGTTTTTGTGGACTAAAATCTTACACGATAAGTAAATGGTAGTGTTAAATTTTACCAGGAAACACTTACCGGGTAAATGTTTGATAAACGGCCCCTTAGTTTTCTAAAACAGAATTCTCTTCTTTCTAGCTTTCAAGTTAATGACAACACATGTACACATACATTTAAGCAACAAATAAAGGGTGACTAATATGAATCTAACGTTCACCTCAATTTCTTCTGTTTCTACACTATTTTTTCGAATTGCAAGGGTACATAGATACACCTAGTATATCTAAATGTGTTACAATAAGTTGTTAGAACGAAATTAGACGACTTAACAAGTTCTATCACTACTAAAACATAGACTTTTACCAAAGGACATTACCAACGGCTAGAATCTATCGATGATTTCCAACGGAACATCAACGGTTAGTCCATCATGGACACTTTCCTCAACGACAATTTCTTTGTCGGTGACATTTAATATTACTATGGATCATAAAAAAAATTATTTTTATTTTTTTAGCCTAAAATTCACGTGGCCGTAGGTGATTGGCGACGGATTTGGACAATCCATCGTTAATTTGCCAGTAATTACGATGGCCTTGTGGATTTTTGTGATCTTTTAGGTTTCTGTTATCCATATGAGTTTTAATTTAATTGATTTTGTATATTTTGTTATATGTGTAAGTATAAATGTATATGTATGCATGTCTATATGTTACTTAATTAATATGTGTATCATGTATATATGTACACGATGATAATCAAATGAGAACCACAAATATGTTACAAACCCGTGAGGATCTATATAAAAATATTATTTTACATGATTTTTTTCATCAAAACCAATCATTTAAGATATAGTTTCACATATGTTTATTGTTAAAAAAAAAATTGTTCACTTAGTGAAAAGAAAAATACGTGTATAAAATATTCAATTGGTGAAGCAAATACATGTAAAGCTATCGTATTGTGAAAAAAATATATATAAAACAATATTTTAAATCCTAACATTTGATGAAAAAATATCATGTAGAAAAATATTTTGTATCGATTCTTACGGGTTTGTAACAAATTTGTGGTTCTCATTTGATTTAACCCCTATATGTACATGTGTATACATATGTTATATACTATGCATGTATGTGTGTATATGTATATGAATGCATGTATATCTTTGTTTGTATGTGTCTATATGTATATGTGCATGTATGTGTGTTGGTTGCTAACGGCATATGATGGATCTATATGTGTGTATATGATATTTCATGGACATATACATATGCAAATATACACACACATATAGATCCATATGTACACATACAACCTATATAGGTAAATACATAGATCTATCATATGCAGTTACACTACCAAAAAACCCACTATTTCCGGCGGCCAAATCCGCCGGAAATCCGCCGGAAAAAGGAATTTTCGGCGGATTTCCGGCG